GGTGAAGATTCTAAAACTTTATCAAAAGGAATATTATGATGAATATGTTTTGCCTTTATTACGTAAGCCAAAAATAACATTTGATATAAAACTTGATGACTCGTTTTTGATAACAGATATTAGACGCAAGGCTGAAAATCATCAGTATAAAAACAGTTCTGAAGTAATTGAGGATTTATCACGTGTAATCCGTTTTGTAGATTGTGGAAACAAATATTTCATTCAAAAGGACTATAATATCCACGACAAAATGAATCAAATATCATTTGTTCTTCAGTCAAACATGAAAGAGTCACTCAAATGATTAAATTATTTAATGAAGAAGGTAAAACAATAACAGCATGGGACGTACTACTAAATCAATTGTCTTCATTAACCGTTAAGGGTGTTTGCTTTAAATCTGATTCCCCAGATGTTTTCTCAACGTTTCAAGGTTATAAATACAACATTCTTGAAAAGCTTGATTACTCAAAAATTGAGATGTTTATGGATTTCATTAAAGAAGCCATTTGTGATAATAACGATGAAGTGTATAAATACCTACTCGGCTGGATTGCATCAATGATTCAACATCCTGGAATCAAGAATGAAACAGCAATTATTTTGAAAGGACTTCAGGGAACAGGTAAAAACAGATTTACAGACATTATTTCTGAACTTCTCGCTGGTTATTCATGCAAAAACATTACTGAAATAAGTGAGTTAACGGGTAATTTCAACTCAGTAGTTGAAAATAAAATGTTTCTTGTACTTAATGAACTCAAGAATGTAGGTGAAGACAGACTCGCAAACTTCAACGCTTTGAAATCAATTATTACGGATAATGAGATTAGAATTAATGAAAAGAATCAACCCAGAAGAACTGCTCAGAACGTTGCAAACTTCATTTTCGTAACTAATAACGTTTACCCTGTCAAAATTGAAGTTGGAGACAGAAGATATGTAGTTTTAAGAGTTAATGGTAAATTCAAGGGTCAATTTGATTACTTCAAGAATTTAATGGATTCATGCACAAAGGAATTTTATGATAACCTTTTAACATATTTTATGCAATATGACCTTTCATCATTTAATGTACGAATCATTCCGATGACTGAAGCCAAACAAGATTTAATTGAATTATCAACAAATCCTTTAGATGTATGGATAAATACACATTATGATGAATTGAATGCAGGTATGACATGTAAAAATGCTCTATTCTGCAAACCATCAGACATGAAAGACAAAAACTTTCAAATGAGTATTAAGGATAAATGTGATAGGAAACAGATCAGAATAGATGGTAAACAAACATGGTGTTATGTTTTGAAAGAAGAAATGAAAGGATTATATAAACAGGTTGAACTAAACGATAATGAGGATTCATTTACTGACGATGAAATACCTGTAAATGATGCTTTATAAAGTATGATTGGAATTTATTTTTGCCTTCCTCTCGTGTTGTTGTCAAAATGTCATGTTGTCACATTTTTTCAGAGAAGTTAAATGACCTGGTGACACATGGTGACCTGGTGACACCTTCAGTTCTTCAAAAATAAGTCATAACTGCCTTCCTCCTGTGTTGTTGACACAATGTCATGTCGTCAACATGACAACCTGGTGACACCTTCAGTTCTTCAAAAATAAGTCATTATTGCCTTCCTCTCGTGTTGTTGTCAAAATGTCATGTCGTCAACATGACAACCTGGTGACACCTTCAGTTCTTCAAAAATAAGTCATTATTGCCTTCCTCTCGTGTTGTTGTCAAAATGTCATGTTGTCACTATTTTTTAAAGAAGTTAAATGACCTGGTGACACATGGTGACCTGGTGACACCTTCAGTTCTTCAAAAATAAGTCATAACTGCCTTCCTCCTGTGTTGTTGACACAATGTCATGTCGTCAACATGACAACCTGGTGACACCTTCAGTTCTTCAAAAATAAGTCATTATTGCCTTCCTCTCGTGTTGTTGTCAAAATGTCATGTTGTCACATTTTTTCAGAGAAGTTAAATGACCTGGTGACACATGGTGACCTGGTGACACCTTCAGTTCTTCAAAAATAAGTCATAACTGCCTTCCTCCTGTGTTGTTGACACAATGTCATGTCGTCAACATGACAACCTGGTGACACCTTCAGTTCTTCAAAAATAAGTCATTATTGCCTTCCTCTCGTGTTGTTGTCAAAATGTCATGTCGTCAACATGACAACCTGGTGACACCTTCAGTTCTTCAAAAATAAGTCATTATTGCCTTCCTCTCGTGTTGTTGTCAAAATGTCATGTTGTCACAAACTTTAGAACAGCATAATTTAAATTTTTATTTTTATCATAAATGAATACCCCACAAGCTCAAAATTTACCACGAATCATAACAAGGGAGGAAATGATAAAAATGATGCGAGAACTTGCTAAAAATAACAAACCACTTAAACTGAGAAAATGCGGTTATGCAGTAATGATGGAAAGAGAGATGTTGTCGAAGAGGAATAAAAATTAAGTTTGGATAGAGTTAAAAATTCATCTTTATTAAATTCATCTCTTCCAACCAATTTATTTATTCTATTAAATTCTTTTATTTTTGCTTCACTCAGTTTAATGATTGAACGGTAAGTTTCTAATTTTTCGATTATTTCTTTATCGTTTTCAACCTCACCACATTGCGGCTTCTTTTTGTAATAACATATTTTTGATTTAATTCTGTTTAGTTTCTTTTTATATTCATCGTCTGGACTCTTGACTGCTTCGTTGTCACTATCATTTCTTACGAAATAAAAAAATTAAATATTATTTAAATATAATGGAGTAATAAAATAAATCGGAATTTCTATTAATTTATTGTCAACTTCAACTAATACATTGCCGTTAATATATCTAACAAATTCAGCTATTGTGTCAAATCTTCGTCTTCTTTTTGTCATTGATTTATCAGTTTTTCCATAATCGAGATGAATCAAAACTTTATCCCCTTGTTTAAAATTCATGAACCCCGAATTAATTTGTTTCACGTTTAACATCATTCAACCTTTCCATTTGCTTTCTAATATATTCCCATTCTTTGAAATATCATTTTTCATTTCACTGGTTTCATGTTAATAGTTCTATCTATGCCATGTATTATTGTAATAATATACTAACTGCTGTATGATGGAGTCATGATTTCCATCCCAGTATATCTGACCGTTAACCCCTAACGCATCTCTAAGAGTTCTCATTACCGCATCAACTATTTTATTATGAAACGTATATGGAGAGGATGAGAAGTAAAAAATTAATTTGTGGGAAATAATGAGTCATAGCTGCCTGAAATCCTTTATCACCATCACCCCTGATATTATCTACTCTTTCCTGATCTAGTAAGTATTGAATAGCTCTTCTTGTTTCCTGTTCTGTTTTCCCTTTCACCGGAATGCAATATAAATATCTAGTGTTAATGTTAATGGCAAATAAATAAGTAATATTTCCTTTTGAATATTCCAGATGATCATTTCGTATGAATATGGATATGGTGCAAATGAAGGGCGACTAAATTTTTCCTTTAACGGTTGAATTTTCGGGTCAATTGGTTTATTTAATATCTTGAAATCCTTTTTAAATCTTTTTGCTTCTTTAATGTTTGAAATGGATATAATAAAGTGAATGATGAAGGATTAACTGAAGGAGGAGGAGGTACTACTGTTGGAGGTTTTGGTGTTGCAAGTGGTTTAATTTTATCTGCTTTGATTTTGGAATTCATTCCCCTTCATTAATTCTGGATGTATTCTATTCATTTGTTTTAAATATGCTGTATATAAAGGTTTGATATACTTTCCCGCTTCGAGTTTATGTTGAAGGATGAATTCCAAAAGTTGATCTTCATTTAAAAGTCGGGCTGAATGTGGTTTAACTAATGAATCATAAATTAAAGCTTGTGCATCATTTATGAGCTGCTGAACCTGGGTGTTTTGCACCTTTTGTTTTTGTTCCTTTGGCTTTTGCGGCTCGGGATTATATAATTTATATAATTCATCAATATCTTCTTCTGTTAATACTTTATTTTTGAAATCTTTCAACTGTTTAAGTTGTGATTTAGTTTTTCCCTTTGAATATTCATTATTTTTAATTTTGTCTTTAATTTCAGAAATTATTTTATTATGATATTTCAAAATTTCATTTTTATAATATGGATAATAATATTCCATATCATCACCCGTTATATTGTTATTATATTTTTGAAGATATGCTTTTAATTCATAATAATTAAGAAAATTTTGATTAAATACTAAATCATCAATTAAATTTTTTAAATCTACGCTATTCATTTATATAAAAATAAAATAAGTGTTTTAAATAAATGGCATACAACATCCATTTTCACAACATACAGCTTTAGTGTGTGCTCCTGTTAATGCAGTCTTACCAATTGTTAAGCGAGTCATTGACCCATTTTTAAGTTGTAAATTAATATTTTGACCATCAAATATCACTTTATCATTTATTATATCCAAATAATTTTTAGGTGTTAATTGCTTATTTTGTCGTAAACTTACACCTTTCATTTTTTGTGCAATCTTTTTGAAGGAGTCTTCACCAATCATTCCGTTGAATGATGTATAACACTTAGGGCATAAAGCAACCATGTTATCTCCTTGTTTCTCAATTGCTAAACCCAATAACTTCTTCTCATGTGCTTTTTCTTCAGCTTTATTCTTTAATTTAGGTTTAAATTTCTCATCAAAACAGAAGAAATCAAAAGGTGCGAATTTGAAAATGTTTTTATCATAAAATTTTTTATCGGTTACAATCGCTTGAAATGCTTGAGTGTTCGGAAGATTTGGGTCGCCAGCGATTGCCCAATATGATGAATCAGTATCACCTTCAATGAAATGAAAACGATTAACATCCATGCATTTATACATAAAATCATAAATGAAAACCAAATACCAGTATTTTGCGTTATCTAAAGTGAAGAATGCCTCTTGTAAACATGTTTCACATCTATAAAATCTATCTTTGAGCATCACTTGATATGTATCCTCACCTATTTCTCTTATGTTTTTAAACTTATTTGCCATACATGCAACGCGTGCCTTCTGTGCATTCATTATTTTAGTCTTCGCGTAATTTTGTGTATTCATTGCATCGTAACCATATGATCCATTAAGTGAAATTTTGCAAAATAAACTTTTTCCTTTATTTCCTTCTAATTCAGCCTTTTGTCTTTCGTTCATAAATTTGTTCGCAAATTCATTAAAACAAGTGTTTTTCGTGAATGTTAAAATTGATTGAATATCATCGATGATAAAATGAAATCTGTCGATTAGATACCAAAGATAATAAGAAGAAAATGGTTGATATTGGTTGTGTGTTGATGCTAACTGAGTTAATTTCATCTGTTTCTGGTCAACCGGTAGATTGTTTGATTTCATGTAATTATACATAAAACCACCAATTGTTTTTTCATCTGTGATAATATCTAAGTTTCTTATTATCGGTAAAAAGTTTATGTAATCATTAATGTATTTTTCATCAATGTGACCCTTTACTTCAGCCACGAATAAAGTATTTTTCTTTCTAATAATTCCCAGTGCTTTTGCTTTCTTTGTTGCTGTATCACAAATGATAACACCATTCAATCTTCCCGGCATATACATTTTATGATCGGTGTATTGAATGAAATCATGAGGATTTGATGAAAATGATGAAGGATATAATGAATTGAAATCAACACCAACGAAATGAGTCATGATGTTGGAAGTGTCCTCATTTGATACTGTTTTAGTTTCTGGACTATATGAAAGTTTATTAATGTGCGTGATTCCTTTAAGATTTACTCTATGTTGAACATTTGATAGACCACCAGTAATTCCATTACGGAGGATGTGATAAGCTTCCACTGAATCTAAAGTCATTGGTAAATTATTTTTTAATGCATAATTTCTTAAATTAATTCTTAAACGTTGAACTTCTTCATCTTTATTTGATTTACGACATTGCAATAACAACACATTAACTGACAATTTTCTTTAGTATGTGGTTTTTTCATTATCAATTCTATCCAATGTTGGTTTATTTGCATATGTAAACGCTTTACCACACAACATTTAGATGAAAGGATTAAATCGTGAAAATATGTTGATAGTCATCCATTGAAACATTATTTTTGGTATCTCTTTTCACCTTTTCATCTTGTTTCTTATATGATTCAATTTTATATTTCCAATACTTTTTCGTTAATTCAAAACTTGATTCCACATTTTCTTCTTCTGGATATGTTTCGTTAGGATTGAAGTCTTTATATGCTAAAGCGTAACGAATCATTGATGCATTAGATGATAATGAAAGATTATGGAGCATGTCAATTTTATAAACAAATGTTTCTTCAATAATTTTATCAATTGGGTCAATCATAATTTCAACGTCTTTATTGCAATAATGAATAAAATATTCTAATCTATTCTCAAAATTTTTAGCATCATTGAGATATATTTGATAATCTATCTGATATTGTTTCTTGTGTTAATGCTGAATAAAATGAATCTTGAGTGAATGGTTCCTTTTTATATAATTCTTCTTCGTAATTCCCATGTGATGAATTGATATGGGAAAAAGGATTTAACACGTGTTTTATTGTTTCCGAAATCTTGAGTGAATTGGTCTAATGTCCACCCGCTATATAATTTCTGATGTCAATAAATCTCAATTCATATGGAACGTTTGTTTTCTTTACAATGATTTGCTTAAATTGTGAAGAAGAACCCAGCATTGATTTTATCTTCCATTTTGCAGTATTTAAATCACGAAGAATTAAATTTAAATCAAACTTTCCCGAATTAAAACCTATGATATTCACTTTATTGAATTCCTCATCTAGAAGTTCTTTAAATGCTTCCTTCTGTTTCTCATTTAATGTATTCATTAATTCTTCATATTGTTCAATATTTGATTTAGCAACTAATGAACAGGTTGAAAATAAAAATTCAATCCAATCAGAGATGAACGAATCACTTGATGTTAAGCAAAAATTCCTTGTATATGTTTTATCGTTTAATTTAACCGTTGATGATACCATAAATGGTTTTAAGTAAGCGTTCAAAGTTGCACATTCAGAAAGTAGAAGTTCTTCTTTAGTCTCTAATGTTTCGAAGTCAAAAGTAATATAATATCTTGTTGGTTTATAATATTCCTGCAAATTATGTGCTAATAGCCACTGATATATCTTCTGTTTCGTGATATGTGGTGCATATGGTTGTTGTGTGTTTTGCAATTGAACGTCTTGAATTAATCTTCCATTATTTTCTTTACATTTCTCACAATGTTTTAAAAATCTTCTTTGGTTTTTCCTTTCTGGATCATCACGGATAGAATATACTTCTTCTTTGCAAAAGGAGCAAACTTTATATCCTGTGAGTGCTTCAACGTCTGTTATTCTGTCAGCGTGAAGTTTTCCACATGGACTCTGTGTTAATAAAATATTTACTGTTTCAAATTCTGGATCTATCATTATTGATTCCACTAATGGAAAGTCTACCTTATTTATGTCCACGTCTTCTGGTTGAGGATCACAATATATAAAATCAATATTAACGTTTAACATTCTTGCTAACCTCTCACTTTCTGATGAAATGTCAAACCCTTCATATGCATCTATGGCTTCATTTAAATAACTTCTACGAGTTTTAGGATTAACACCATCAGGAATGTTATAGAAGCGTTTAAATAACCTTCTACCTTCTGCTCTAATTTGATTATCATTCATTTTAGCCGTTCCGTTTTTGTTCATTTATGTAAGAATAAAAATTAAAAAATAAAAATAAAGTTTATTTTTTTAAAGTCTGAGACTCAGAGAGTCCAGGGCTAAAGTCCATAAAATGAATTAAGAACACATAAATTTTTATCATCTGCGACGTGACGAATACATTTTAATTTACTCAAGAATGCGTACCCTGATACATTAAATCTAATTCCTGTCTTATTTAATTTCACAACTTTGAAAAGGAATGTATGAATAGCTATGAAATGATGACGAGATGATTTATGTGTTGCTTCCATTTTTTCTGAAATAAATGAATAAATATAATGTTTATAAGTTTTCATATCTTTTATGTTCTTAATAACGAATGGAATAGATCTTTCCACTTCGTCCTCCTTCGGAGCTGTTCTTTCATATGAAACATCAACGGTATCTTCAACAATGAAACCACAATCGCATAAAATTTTATATGTACCAATTGTTTCTTTTGATATTTTATCTAACAAATCAAAAACTTTATCAACACCTGTACATTTATTTAAATAATAATTTGTGTAAATATCATGGTCTTCTTTCTTAATCGTATTTGTTGCATATGTCATTTTTCAGTGCTTTTTTGAATTTTTCAGAATCAAGAGGAGGTGAAAGTAATATACATGGATAATCTCCATCGTCAATAAATTGTAACTTATGTTTATGAATAAATTTTGTGCCTTCTTCTGAAAGTGTTTCGTCAATATCACCATCTAATAAATTTTTAGTAGATTCCAAAAAGTAATTTTTATATCTTTCCTCATGTGATTTTTGAACTTCTGATTCTGAAGCTGGGATATTCATTAAATCCTCTACTTCATTTTCAGCATTTCTTAATTCTTTAATTTTTCATCTATTTCATTTCTTAATTGTTCCAATTTCTCAATCTCATCGTTATAATATTCATCTTGTTTAATTTTTTCTTCAAAATATTCAGGAGGTGTTTCAAGGCTCTCTGAGCCCAGGTCCTCTGGACCATAAAGAGGAATATTCTCCTGTTTTTCAACTTTTTTGGGATATAAATATCTCATTATAGCCTTTTTAGTAATTGGTCCGTTATATTTAAATTCATTCAACAATCTGGAAAACTCTTTCACATTCTGCATATATGTTGGATAAGAACCGTCTCCAAAATTTTCTAAAATATTTTCTAATTCTGAATTAGTGAACTTTAAAGATTTCAATGAATTAGTTGTTATACTCATTTATTATAAAATAAAAGATAAAAAATATTTTTGATTAATAAGGAATTAATTTCATTTTATGTCTTATAATGTGCGCATATGTATTTAAAAGGCATTCATTGAATTGCTTTTCAATCTCTTTCTTTTTTTCATCTTCGAATATTATATCATTTTCATGTTCGAAGCTTGTAAGTTTGTTATCTTCAAATATTATATTAGTTTCATATATCAAATTATGATATCGGTCATATTCTTTTAAGTGATAAATAAATACAAAATTTACGGTTCCTTTAATTTTAAATTCAAAATTAATTTTACAACAGCTTTGTGGATCAATTAGTAAATCAATCAAATAATGTTCAAAATCAGATATTATTCTTTTTCCATACATTTTATATTAAATAAAAAATTGACACCATATTTGGAATCTATGCAAAATATATTCTTTTTATTAATGATAATATAGGAATTGTAGGAATAAAAACTTTTTATAAATTATTCATAAATTTTTAAAATCTGCTATTCAGAAGTATGTTCAAAAATCATTCAATTATGTGAGATTCTTACGATTACAAAAAAGGTCACACAACCCGCACTCATATACTACTCAGAATATAAAGCATTTTAATCATCTAAACAAATTTTAAAGCATGATAGTCAAAATAAAAGATGTCATGCCAAAGGGAATTTTCTAGGGTTGTTAAAAATATCAAAAATTAGCGTTTTGAAGACACCATGGTGTCTTATAATTTTCCCTTCCTTATTGGCGTGTAGAAATAAATGCGCCAATAGATTGAAGAAGAAGAATTGTTTTTCTCTTAATGAACTTTAATCCTTTTGATATAAGAATATTAAAAACATTAATATAATTTCGATTTCGGAAATTAAATTTCCAAATTTCTTGTCGATTTGGGAAATAACAGGATCCCGCATCCAATACGCAACAACAAAACACAAAACACACTTTTTGGTTCTTTCATCGATTTAATCGTAATTAGTAGTATATGAGTGCGGGTTGTGTGACTTTTTTTGTTACATCTATATATAGACGATGCATTAAAATATATTTATTTATAAATCATTAAAAAATTAACATTAATTTTAAAATAATTTATTTTTTATTTTTTATAAAAGAAACTATATATAGATGATGTCAGATATTCCGCGATTAATTAAACATTGTTTAAATCCTGAATGGGTTAAACTTCAATTTAAAAATGAAGATTGTGAATTATTAAATGAATATGAAAGCCAAAATAAGCTAATGAGGTATAAATATAATGATAAAGAATATTTAATTTCATGGAATCAATGGAGTCATAATCAAAGACCTCATAAACGAGAAGAAGAAATTGAAAATAATGAAATGGAAATCATTGATGACATTAAAGAGGATGGAATTCCTAAATTTTGTAGAAAAACCTTTAGAACTAAGTTAGGAGCATATAAACGTAGAGTATTAAATCCTGAATATCTTAAACATATATTTAAAAAGGAAGACTGTGAATTATTAAACGTTAATGAATATGAAAATGCTAAATCAAAACTGAGATATAAATATATTGGAAGTGATGAAAGGTGTAAAGATAAAGATAAAGTTTATACAGTTTCATATAATAACTGGCACACGTTGGGATAAGAAAACATTTAGGAGATTATGGAAAGTTCTGAATTCTTAAATCTAGTATGTATGAGAGAGTAAAAGAAATTAGAATAATTATTTCATGAATAAAAAAATAAACTTTAAAAATTCATGTCTTACATTTTTTGAATAATTTATTTTTTTAATTCGTATGAAAATGAGTGGATCAAGATTCGTAACCGTCAATCAATTAATGGATGTTCTTTCACCAATTCTTGAAAATGTTAAACAAGTAGATGTTTATTTCGATGATTATGTAGAAAGTATATATTATAAAGGTAAGTTTAATATTAAACCTAT